CAGTTTAGCAGGAGGTCACACATTCCTCTAGAGATGCACAGTGACCAGTGAGGTAAAGGAAGTGTGGGAAGGCTAAGGGGAATAAAGTCTGAGTGTTAGGCGAGGCCTTGCTGATAGCTGAGCACTGAGAAGGGCCTGAAGAAAGGGCGGCCATGATGCTTCCCATGATTGGACTGAGGGGGCCCAGGGACAGGGCCTGCAGGGACAGAGAAGGGCCCAGACCCTGAGAAGAAAATAAAAGCTCAGCCAGTGGGAAGGGTTGGCCTGACAGAGCCTTGGGAGGAGACAGATCAAGGTAAAGATGTGAGGCTTTTTCCTTGTGCTTCAGTGCCCAGCACACAATACGTGCTGAGGAAATATTCATTGACCAGAGGATGGACCACACATGGCTACTTATGTCACACTGAGAAATAATACATGACACACGAAAGCATGCATATAAGAAACACAGAAATAACCCATTAACACATAGCACAGATACGTCCACTTTGCAACTTTCAACATTTTTCCTCTAGTCTTTTATTACTGGTACATTCTTTTCTTTTTCCATACTGGAAATATTATGTCTGTTTTCTTCACGTCACCATATTATAAACTTTAACTAGCATCCTTTAAGTCACTGCAATTTTGTTTCTCTCTAATGGGTTTCAGCAACTCGGGGAAACTTGTTTTAAAGTGATCAACTCTTCAGGTAATCAGCTCTCTAGGACCACCATGGGTGCTTGGTAGCTACTGAATTGTATAAATCAGGTAACCCATGAGCCACTAAAGCCTAAAGAACAAGACAAGTGACAGGGTGCCAGCCCATAGGCTCCCTTGCCGAGGGATGCCAAAATCTGGTCTCCAGCCCAGAGAAACCCTTGCTTTACAACAGACAGGGGCTTGTCATCATGACCAACATGGTCCCTGTGAAAATGTCTCCTCCCTAATTGGGGTCCAGGCATTGGAGCATTTCCTAGAGAGGCATTCTGTTCCCCGCTGTTGTTACCTCTAGGATCTGCCCCAGCTGTTCCTAATTCTCTGAGTGAATGACTCAGCTTGATTCAACATCTCAGCTTGCGGCTTCTTAAAGGAGCCAGGCTATTTTTTAACAAAATGAAGCATAGATCAAACCCAGTAAAACCATCCACAGATACAACCAATCATAAATTAGAAAACACAAAATGTATTTATTTTCAATGTCCACGATTATAACTCTTATTTGATGAAAATAAACATGTGCCTGGGTATAAAAAAAATCAGAGCGGTCTTAATAGAAACCAGATAGCAAATCTAAGCTCTTCCCTGATGTACCACCCCGCCCCTTCTCTCCTCAGCTGTGGGGACAGCTCTGGGGAAAAGCTGTGGGACCTATGCTGTGGGGCCTGTTAGTCCCAGGAAGAGAAGGCCAGGCCCAAGGCTAAAATGCACAGCTCTGTTAAATGTTTTTGGAGCAAATGCAAATTTTACAGGTGAACCAACATGTTTATGGTCTGAAGATGTTTTTGGCTCTGTTGAAGTAGTTTACCCGTGAGCAACAAACGAATTTATTCAAGACTTGCAGTATAGAGATGAAAACAAACCTGAGGCAGGACAAAATTAATGGGAAATTTAAGGAGAAAAAAAAAAAAACACCTACCACCACCAACAAACAATCCTCAGTTTGGTTGAGATGATTACAGCCAGATGGAAAATGGATCCCAGGTGCCCAGGCAGGCGGGGTGCCTAAGGACAGAGCAGCTTCATCTTGGCTGGTACAGCCAACAGCATCCAAATCACTTGCAAAGCAGAGAAATATTTCCTTCCTTCATGTTTCTCCGCTTCTTCCTCCCTCTTCTCGTCTCTTTCCCTTCCCCTGGAGTAACGGGATGCTCTATGTTGGATCTTTTCCAAGAGAGAAGGTGCGGTGTGATGGGGCTGGAGACCAAGCCTGAAGGATGGGGTGGGTGGAAATGTACCACTGTGATTGTCTAGGATTGTAGACGTGATTTCTCATCACCCTCCCTAAGCTGTGGTTTTCAGAACAGGACTTTCATCCTTAAGATAATAAAAGGTGCATTCAGCTGCCTCTATGGCTGACTTACAATCAACTCATGGTGGGTTATTGGGTGCTTTGAGCTTAGCCAGACCTGCACATAACCTCAAGTCTAATTCTATCACATGGCTTCTAATGTCATCACACAGAGCCTCTGGCAACAAAGCCATTTTCCAATTGCTAATATCCTTTTCCTTCCACGCTCATCCTGCCAGAATCATTTACAGCTCTGTGTCTGAATCTCCCCAGAAAAGATTTTTCCCTTGGTGAGATGGTTTCCAGAGAACAATTTCCACAAGACAAATGAATATAAAATGTCTGCTCATTACAATCAGAACAATAGTAAAAACATTCAGGGACATTGATTGGTGCTGCAGGGAGAAAAGAATGCTGTAAAAATTCTTCATGCAGTATTTTTTTAATTTCATTTGTATCACATTGGTTACTACACTCAGTGAAGGACACTAATTTATTCTTCATGTTAACAATTTGTTAATGTTTTAATTCAATCCAGAAGCCCTTAAGAAAAGTGACATGAGCTCTAGGACAGAGACTTTTGCCTATTGTGATCAGTCATATATTCACAGCTCCTAGCATAGTATCTAGCACTTGTAAATGTTTATTCATATGAGGTATGATCAAAACCATGGTGAATGTTTAAATTTTCAAAAATTTATTGTAGAAGGAAGGCACATTGCCATTAACATCCTTCAGAAGAGACCCTTTCACTTTGAAGAAAAGTATCCCATCTTTCTTTTCACTTTCTGAAAATATGGAAGTCCTTTTCTGTGTCTTTAGCTGAGTTGTTGTCACTGCCGGGACATCCTGAATCAACTGAAAACATTTACCTTTCATTGTCATTTTGACTTTGGGGGAGAACCAGAAGTCTCATGGTGTCATTCTATTCAGTGTGATAGGTCCCAAGAATGAGGTGCCCGTGGATGAAAAGAAAAAGTAAGAGAAACAAGAAAAACAAGAGAAGCAAAAGTCTGGGATCAGGGGCCTTACAGCCTCACAGACTGCAGCCTTGAATACCAATCTCAGTAACCTTTTATTGAGCGAGAACCAAGGGCATAGCTTGTACAAATGGGTGGATACCAAATGTTTTTAGCAAGGATAATTAAAGGATTACCCTTCTCCACATGTCATCCAAGACACGCCTGTAATCCCAGCACTCAGGAGGTTGAGATAAGAGGATCATAAACTCAAGGTTAATCCAGGCTGTATAATGAAGCCTTATTTTAAGAAACTCTAACAAATAATAAACAAATCATTGTGTCCTCAATGCATTCTAATCAAAGAGTGTCATTCTCCACATCATGGTACCACATACAGTGAATAAAGTGGATTTTTTTATTGGACAAAAAGAGCAGTAAACATTTGATCAACGTGGAGTGATCATAAAGTATGGTGAATGTTGAAATTTTAAAAAGCTATTACAGTAACAGACACAGTGCCATTAATCTCCCTCAAAATACTCCTCTGCAAACACACTTATTCCATCATTCTTGGCAGTGTATTTTGATTGTAATTTTTTATTGTAATTTTTTTTAAAGCTTAAATGTTCACCATATCTTTTGATCACTCCTTGTATTGATTGTTGAATAAACTGAGGTGTTTTCTAATGTGAGAATAAAACAATGAAAAACATCGCAGGGTGCCCTCATCCACTTTATTCACTGTGAGTTTGGCCATCTTTTGAATTTTGCAGTGTTTTATGTGAAATGGTATTGTTTATTCATTTTCAAGTTAAGGAGAACATTGACCTACCTCCAGGCTTAGGAGGCAACGAGATCCTTAAAATAGAATTTTTAAAACTTAGCTTACTTGGGCATGGTGGTGTCCATCTGAAATTCCAGCTACTCCCAGGAAGAAGATCATAAGAGCACAAGTTCAAAACTATCCTAGGCAACTTAGTGAGACCCTGTCTCAGAATTTGAAAAAAAAAAGGGAGGGGGCTGAGAATGTAATTCAATAGTAGACAGCCCCTAGGCTTCATCTCCAGTTGGCGGGGGGGATCTAACTTACTTTAGATTTGTGAACTACTACTGGTATCCAGAATTTCAGCCCTTTTTAAAATTACAAATAAAAACTCCATTTTGTGTGTGTATTAGTCACTTTCCTGTTGCTGGGACAAAATACCTGACACCTACAACTTAAGGAGGAAAAATTTATTTGGCTGGGAGATTCCAGTGGACTTAGTCCAAAGACCGCTAACTCTAAGGAAAAACACAGTGAAAACACCTGGTGAAGGACAGCTGCTGCTCCCATAGTGGCCAAGGAGCAGAGTGCAAAGGGAGGCCCTGGAAACAAGATTACACCCTTCCAGGTCACACCCCCAGTGACCACCTCCAACCAGCCCTCCCATCGCAACACTACATTCAGCTACTGAACTTGATCAATGGGTGAGTTCACTGATGAGTATAACAACATCACGGAGATCCAGTCACTTCCACACACATGAGATGTCAGGGGCATTTTAGAGCTAAACCATGACAGTGTGATAGCGTACTGGAGGACTGCTCTGTCAGTTACAAGTTGAGACCTGCCAGCAGTAACACACGGAGTGCTCCCCCTCCCCTACGCCTGGGAAGAAGACTCTGGACTCAGGCAGAAGGGACATAACTCAAATTAGATGTGCTAATCATCTCAGTTCCCTTCCTCTTTGGGTAAACAATGTGTTCAGTTATGAAAAATGCTCCATATTGTTTTATTCTCCATCACTGTTAGCTACTTGAGCCAGTGGCTGAAGAGTTGAAAAAAATATACAATTTCAACCTCTGCTTTTCCAAGTTAGAAAAAAGCTGATTTAATAGCTTAGAACTCTGACAACTATTGGCCCCTTTCCAGACGAAGCTGGGCAGTGATTCTTAAGTGACTTTTCAAGTTTCTCTCATTTATAATGAAAATATAAACTCCAGACTGCTGCATGACCTTTACTCAGAGAGAAAAGTCTGTCCCACATGTGTTGACAGCTAAGGAGAAAGCCAGTGGTACCTCTAGCAATAAAATGGGGCTGGGATGAAAGAAGTAGAACTGACTCCTTTAAACAAAAATTGCCCTGCATTTTCTGGGATTTTCCTTGAAACTGAGCATAGCAGATGTTATGGTTTATATCTACATGGCCCCCAAAGCCTCATGCGGTCATAAGCAGGGCTTAGGGGGAAGTGATTGGATCATGGGGATGCTATATTCATCAGTAGATTGATTAATCACCCAATGAATTTCTACCTAAAAGTACTGTGAGGAAGTGAGAATCAGTTGGAAGAAGCGGCCCACTGAGGGCCTGACCCGGAAGGGTACACCTCCCTCCCTGGTTCTTCCCCGCTTGCTCTGCTTCCTGGTGGCCACGCCCCACCGCCACACTATTTCTTCTTGGGAGCCAGCCAACCACGTACTGAAACCTGAGCTAAAATAAACCTCTCCTCCTTTAAGTTTCAGGTATCAAGAATTTTGTCCCAGCAACGAAGAAAGTGACCCAGACGGCAGATGTGAATCAAGAAGAGGTAAAATTAATTTATGCTCCTGTAAGACCTAGAGCTTCTAAGAGTTTCTTCTTGTACTTCACACTTGCCTGTGGAGTTCCAGTAAAGAAAAAAGCATATATATCAAGAGATCTCTGATGTGCCTTTGAGGGATGGAATATTCATGTTTCTCCTGTTCTGATAGTTTTAAAACCAACGTTTGTTAAATGTGTGTACGATCCAGTTCCAAATTTCCCTGTGGATACAGCTACCCAGAAAATGAGCAAATCAGTGTTATTTTTTAATCTTAGATAACTGCTGTTTTATATATTAAATGCTGAGTTTTTACTGGTCTGCTAACTGTATTAGAATGAATGTAAGTGTTATATCTTAATATTACTGTTATATAAAAAATTAATAAATTTTCCTTTTTAGACCTCTTTACTTTTTTAACTATTTGGAAATATAATTCATGCACATCTTCTAGGATTCAGTTCCACAAACAGGAAATGTAATTCAATAGGATTTCAGTTCTGTGAGTTAAACGGATTTGGCTAATTTCTTACCAGCATTAGCTGATTATTAGAAGGTATTTTGTTACTGTGGCTGACAATAAGGTTGATGCTGTAGCAGCATTACCACCAAAAGCAGCTTTGGTCTTAGTCTCTAATTAGAATTTTTGCACCATAGTGATTTGGATTTGCCAAGGACTTATACCTTAAAGGGATTATGGCACAGATTACTGAAGATGAATCCTCATGAAAAAAGGCTGGATATTCATTTTAGGACTCAAGCTCTGAATGCCTATTGACCAAGATTGCAAATGTTTGAGGATTCTTGTCACATCCGAAGTTGCTATGACAGTGTAGACTGGTGAAAGAGAAATCCTCCTCTGGGATGGCTGATTGAAAACTGGCATAGCACTGCACGCAGGAACCAAATCCAAATACATCTGAGAGCTGGAAATAGAACCACAGAATCATCTGAACTCCTAAAGTCGAAAAGATAACAAAAGTGCTATTTAATTAATTAAAGTTGATCAAATCAGAGAACAGAGTTGTAGAGCAGCATTAGCACACAGCTGGAGAGGCCTTCCTTCTCTGTTAAGTGGAAGCGGAGAATCTGATGGCTGGGAGGAGACAGGGGTGGCCACGTGGAGCGGAGGGCCTTGTGCTGGTCTGGTTTGCTCAGTCCTCCTGTCCCTGGGTGACCAAGGGAGTGGGCTACACAGGCAGAATAAAAAGTACTGCTCACAAGTAGTTTAAAATATTTCAGAATCAAGGAAAAAATATTTCTGGGAGCAGTGCCATGAAAGGACTGTGGAATAAGCACAAAATGAAACTGAGGTTCTCCTGGAGCCACCACTCCAAGGGAAGGTGTTGGCTATGCCATCAGCTTATTTCCTTAAGAGAAAAACCTCAGCCTTATTCTTGGGAAGCTCTTCCCAGCATGCTAGTTGGATGACATATTCAGGTGACATTAACCACAAATATAAGGGTTACAACCAATGCCCGGCATCTACACAGAACACATTTATGTATTTGAAAGGCAACAAAATCAGGCTCAAGGTGCTCGCAAGACCTTCAGAAGAGATAAGGCCAGCACATCCATGGACAATACTTTAGAGCATTTATTAAGCAGGAAACAATCAGCTTCAGGTGGATGCTCTTTGGATTCCAGATGTTAGTTTAATCCTACTTAAGCCATTTGAATCTATGCATAACAGCTTTGGTGTATAGAACTCCTAACAGGGAAGACACAAACACTGAAATATCTCAATAATAATTTCCTCAAGTGGAAATGTCCTTCTTGCTCTTACTGTAAGAGAAGAATGAGAAAAACCTAAATATCCATTAAGTGGGTCTTCTTATATAAATACTTGATACATTCCTTTAAAAAAAACTAGAGACTGAGGGAGCTTGCTATGTACTGAAACAGGAAGATCTCTGTATCATTTACATAGAAATGTAGAAAGTATTTTATATATTTCAGGCAGAGAAGAATGTGATGCAGAGGACTGGATAAAAATTTTCTCCAAGGGCTGTAGAGCAAATGAAACAGGGGTTGTTGCCTAAAGCCTGGGAAGCTGCCACTGTGCTGATGTTGCTGAAACCACACATGCAGTCCAGCCCAGCTGCCTTTCCAGTTGCCAGAGGAGGGAAAACTAGCCTAACTCCTTCCTCCCACTCTGACGCCTACCACTGGAATGACCTCACATGACGCTGGCTGGATGAGTGAAGCAGGGAGAGGAACAGAGGATGTCTAGAAGGAAGGATTTGGACTCAAGAATTAGCAGGCACAATCCAGCATATCCACGCTGTGCTACACGGCATCAACACATTCCATCGTAATTACCCAACAATAACAACACTGTGTTGAGAAATACTGATTTTGAGCCTGTTTTTGCTCTGGCCCCCACACAAAACTTGCAGCCTACCGGTTTACTCCAAACATCTCTCTCAGCAATACATTTTCTTACCTCAAAATCAAAACAGGTATAAAACATGGCAGTTCTTTTTAGAGGTGGTGCAACGTATAATAATTGATCTTTCACTTTGGAAGGAAATGCCATATTCTCCAGATCATGGGGCCATGGAAAAATCACCAAGGTTGTAGGCTGTGATTTTCTTGGGCATTACCTTCTGCCACCTGGCATAAGTATATTTTATTAAAGCATTTGTGGCCTGCCTCTCATCGTGTCAGTGAGGCAGTATATTGGCACATGCTGCAACTATCAACATGGTCAAGACCCTCATGGAGTAGGTCATGTCTGAGAGCAGCAGAGGTGACAAAGGCCTCAGATAAGGGTCTTTGGCCAATCCTCCTGCTGGGTGACAGCAAACTCCTCCTCATTGTCCTTGCCAATTCAGAATTGCAAAAGTTCAAAGAATCTACCCGACCAATAACTTCATACAAAATGCCAAAACTTGGGTCAGCTCTTTTAAAGGTTTTGATTCCAAGGAGAAAAAGCCCCTGTGTGCTGGATATCCTGCTGTGCACCTGGCTCTCTGCTCAGGACAGTAGCTGTGTCCACCTTGCTTCTGGACCTTAAGGGCTTCCACTTGGCTTTGTCCACTAGGAGCCCACCCTTGACTGAAGGCAAGAAATCTATTTTAATGGTAGTGTCTCTTCTCTGTGTGGGCCTCTGAAGACTCCCCAAATAAGACAGCTTGAAACATCTAAGTCGTATCTGTCAAGAAAGACTTGTTCTGCATGGTGGCACACACCTGTATTCCTAGCACTATAGGAGGCTGAGGCAGGAGGATTGCAAATTTGAGCACAGCCTGTGCAATTTAACACGTTGGCAAGACCCTGTCTCAATCAATCAATCAACTGATCAATCAATCAACAGAGGGAAGAGGATGTAGCTTAGTGTGAAGGTCTGGGGTTCAATACCCAGTACTGAAAAAAAAGACCTGTTCTATAATATTTGGACGGATAAATCACAGGTACCTTTGTAAAGAAGAAAGAAAATGCATGTGCACATATGTCTGTGTTGGAGGGGGTATAGAATATTTATTTTACATTTTTGTTGTATAAATACATTGTTTAAACCACTAGAAAAAATGAAAGGCTTATACTGTTCTCAACAGTGTATCTCCTTAGATTCTGGAGGGGCCAGAAACTACGGTGTACCTAAGTTTCATTCAGGTAACAAAAACGAAATCTCTCTTGCAGTGGATTTTAAAGGATCTGAGACATACACATATGGAGCTTTATAACTGAGCCTTCTAAGACCTTTTTATGCAATGTAGCAAATATAATTGCAAATGATGTGGAAACATTCGAAGATGGTTTTATCTCCACAGAGAAAGCAGGAGACAAAGCAACATGCTCCCAGACACAGCCCAGCTTCCAGATTCCCAGTCACCACAGAAACAGGCAACTGTGGCTGGTCCATCAGGAGCAGCGAGGACCCCAGGAAAGCCGGAGGAATACCCTCCTGGGCTTTGATTCCCTCCTAGTCCTCCCTCACACCTGAGTGCCTGAGGCAATGCACATGTGCCCACCCAGGCACTGTGTGGAAAACAAGCCAAGGACATTTCTCGGTAATAAACAGGAGACTGGGCGAGGTGAAGGCCTTTCCTGGCTCATCCCTCAAGATGGTTACACTTCAGAATGTGAGCTTCAGTCCTAAATGTGTCCAAATCACTTATTGGAAAATACATCATTTCCTTTTTCAGAAAAATAGCTATTTAAGTAAATTCTTTAAATGTATACAAATAGGTATCCAGATTCTATTCCAGTCCTTAGATCCAGTTACCTGTGCTGCAGAGGCATCAGATGAATAGTAAGAAGGCTTCGGGGATTAGGGCAGAGTGAGCGAGAACAGCTGAGATCAGAGACAGATGGTGTATGTGCGTGTGTGCGCGTGCGTGTTCATACATATGCATGGGGTGGAAACAGGGCTTCACACACAGCCTCTAAACTCTGGGTCAGAGAGGAGCCACTGTGGAGTTTTGTGCAGAGGGATGGTGTGACATGGTCAGTACTAACAGGTCACTCTAGCAGCTCTGCTCTATGGACTGACTAGGCTGGAAGCAGGAGGTCATTGAAGTAATCTGTGTGAACGAAGACAGCTGTCTGGATGGGGTGTGGGAGGTGGCTGTGGTGAGGGGTAGTCCGAATCTGGATATATTGTGAAGATGGAACCTCATGGATTGGACATGAAGTGCGAACAAGAGTGAGGTTAAGAATAATTCTGTTTTCCCCCCTTCACTGGAAGGATAGGACGAGTACAGTAGTATTACCTGAAATGGTAGGATGGCAGGTTGTAGGGAGGCAATTTTTAGACATTATGTATTAGATTATCTCTATGGTATTTGACATGTTCAGTAAGTACTTCAAGGTAGAAATCTTGTGTTAAAAAGAGATCCAGGCCACAGGCAATTTAGGATTCTTTAGGGTAGAGACAGTATTTGCATAATGCTGTCTGATTAGATTAGAGAGGCACAGACAGGAACAAGGCGCAAAGACTGGGTCTTGATATACTTCAGCATCAAGCCATTGTGAAGAAATCAGCAAACAGGAAGGAGAAGCGG